AATTAATTTGTAGTATATTTTAAGCGAAATAATAGTTCTAGCTCTTTTAAGAGAGATTTATGTTAAACACAACAAATCAAATACTATTATTATTTGTCAATAACTCCAACTTCAAATAGTTTCTCTAATTAGAATTTCCTAACACTACTCTGGACTTGAAACTATCCTTCTTGAGCATATAGTAAAAATTAATTATGGAATTATGATTGTGCAAAAATTAAAAAAAAATCAATGTGTGTCAATTTACTATTGAACTTAGATACAAATAATAAGTTTATAAAGTGTGAATGGATAGATGAGATTCCTGCACATTTTAATCAGAAATATCTATGTTAAACTTTTAAAATATAAAAGATTTTTTCTCCTTAGAAACTAAACACAATGTGAGTTAGTTTTGAATACTAATTGCATAAAACAAAAGCATATCAATTGTATATCATTTTAATTTCTCTTTTTCTTCTTAAAATTTCTCTTTTAGAACTTTTAAAAGTTATAATGGAAGGTGATATACTATGGCATATGTTCTCAAATGTTGAGAACAATTGGCAAAAGCAAAACAAGGCCCACATAGGAATTTTCCATGGGTTTATACATGTTCCAATTCACTAGAGTTGGAGATTTGAAAGAATCCAACCATCTTTTCTTGTTTATCATTAAAAAAAATCATTCATTCATGCATAAACATATGAATTCATAGAATAAATATCTTTTTAAAATGCTATACTTTATACCTATTTATTATTTGATTTTACACTGAATGAAATCGAATTAGTCGTTAGCTAGCCATTGGGATAACACCTATCTAGTCTCTTCTTTCTTGGGGGGTTATTTTCTTTTTAAAAAATTGTTTATGCTCCTACTTTATAACTAGGAGAATTTATTGAATCTGAGAAACATGCATAATTATATTCTTAAAAGATAGTATTCTTAACACATCTCAAGATAAATTCCACTCTTTATAATTTTTCTAATAGACACTACCTAGATGCAAGGGTTCCAGAGCCACATATAGCTGAGGGGTTCATCCCAATCCCATTGAACAAAAAATTACACTATTCATATATGGTTATTTAAAATTATCTTTCGTGTATTTAAAGTAGATGTTGAACCCTCACTCCACCCCTCTACTTCTTTGTGTGTTTACTTCTTCATTGTTTGAACCCTTTTAGTGAAAATTCTGATTTTGTCACTGTCTACGTCTAAATGAGGTAGAAAACTTTCATATCATTAGTAAATGAGGCCAGAAGTTTGGACAACTTTTGAGTTGTATGCATGGTTGAAATTTTTTTGTACTATTATAATTTCTTTGGTCAAATCTATAATAAACTAACCATGTTTATTTTAGTAAATAGTATAATAGTGTTAGATGTAGATATCAACAAAGTCGCTTTGGCCGAGTGGTTAAGGCGTGTGCCTGCTAAGTACATGGGGTTTCCCCGCGAGAGTTCGAATCTCTCAGGCGACGATTTGTTATTGTTTTTTTTTTCGTTATTATTTATATTTCGATTATTGTATTTATCGCTCTTTTTTTCCATCTCAAAATGTTTTGTTATGCTATCTTTAGTATTTGTCGTAATTTCTTAGTCATATTTTTTTACCGAACTACTTTGATGTATAAGTCCTTGAGTTGAGTATTTATCGAAAACAACATATCTACCTCTTAAGGTAGGGGTAAGGTTTGCGTACACACTGCCCTGTTTGTCGAAAATAACATCTCTACCTCTCAAGACAAGGATAAAGTCGGTGAATACATTATCCTCTCCCCAAACCCTATTTTTATCGATGCGGTTTGTCGATTTTCAATTTGTAAGCACGCAAAATCACTTACCAAATCAATAAGATATTTATTATCGGTTCGTTAATTTTCGATCCTTAACGACTTGATTTTCGATTAATGGTTAAAACGTGAGCATTAAGGATAAACTAGTAAATTATTAATAACAAAAATTGACAAGAGGGGGTTGCTCAAATAGTAAGCACCCCTCATTTATAACCGAAATTTTTTTTATGGATCAAATCAATTGTAATTTTACTGAAAATGTCAATCATTTAAAGAAAAATATCATAAGTGGGTGGGGGTTAGAAAAAGCACCTACCCCTAATAAAGCCATATGCCCAAACGCGGTGACTCGGTCATGTTCTTTTCCAACTTTCTCGGCAACAATTACGTCAAACATTTATTATTTGTTCTATTTTGGGTGCCATACAAGTGTGAACAACTCACAAGTAGAGTCCAAGTCAAGCACTCAAGTTGTAATTATTTGGCAAAATTTCATTTATTTAAACTTTTCTAAATTGTTTTTCATTAAATACATCATGACTTTTTATTAATTTTTGACTCAAGTCGAAGAGAATAATATATACGCAGATAATATAGAGTTTGGGAAAATATCTATTGTCCCCAAATCGTTTGGTTCATTCTTATGTTTGTCCTAGTAAAATTATCTCGTATTTGCTCTTTTTTGCTAATGTAGCTCTAACATGAGATGGATTGGATAGACTTCATATGTCTAAAATTTTCAAGAAAAAGATCTAAATTTATCGGTATGACTTAAAATTACTCTCAGTTCCTTACTGCCTTAGGGGTGAGAAAAAAATATCTTTTCCTAATTAGGAGATTAATTTGTGTAGTGTAAGTTTTATCAAAGAAAGAAACATTTTCTTAGTAAATATTTTTCTATCTTTGAAGCTCGATAAAGAATGAAAAAAAATCTAATCTAGTATCTATCCCACCTCACCACCCCTTTGGTTGTCCATCTTTCAAATGACACTAGTCTTGATTCAATTGAGAAGTATATTGTAATCATAAATTCATAATATTATATTAGTTTTTTTTTTCTATTATTTAAATGTGTAAGGAGGCTGACACAAAATTATATATATTTCATATTATGTACATTTGTAATGTCAAATATTAAGCTGACAAACTTGTTTTTGTTGGCAAGAAAAGATTGGAATTGAGATTAAGACTTTGTGAGTATGACAATTACATTATTAAAATCAATTAGACGGTTTTAAATTAGTTTAATTTTAATATTTCTTATTGAAAAGGAAGGGAATAGATACTTACCTATTTTATTTTTATTTTTTGGGGGTTAAAAGTAACATGGAGTAAATATTACGCATGTAAAACAAGCCACAATTTGAAGATGCTATAGCTTTTGCCCATTTTCCATAAACAGACCATACAATTGGATGGCCATAAAGGCCAAAATTGGGGCATCAAATGCCAACTTGACCAATTTTATTTTTTTTATATTAATATTGAGTTTTGATCAAATTTAAATTCGTTTAGGGCAATAATCCTAATAATTGTTTTTAAGCTCAAATTCAAAATCTCTACATAAGAATGAATAGACTTTAATTATTGTACAATAATCCATGTTCATAACTTGACCACTTTTGAAAATGGGTACTCCTTATGTTCTATTTTAGTAAAAATTTACGAACATTCTATTTGATTTATATTTACTTTTTAAAAAAATTAAATATAGTCCACTTCGGAACAACTTCAAATAGACAATGTAATAAAACCTAATTTCATACATCTTTATTTAAAGTAATATGCTGTTAAAGTTCAGATTAAAATAATTAAACTTTAATCATATATATCAAAAATTCGAACATATAGTATCACATGTTTGAAGCTGTTTTGAAATAGACTGACTTGTAAACTTTTACATTTTATGAATAGAATTTCATTGGTAGTCCTAAAATCAAATACAGGTACACTTCAACCTCTATTTATGAGTCGCACTTCTTTCTTTAATATATCAAGAAAAGAATAACATAAGAAAAGAATAAGATAGGTTCTATATTTTAAAATAATTCAGTTTCATATTTTTTTATTTATTTTATAAAAAAAATAACTTTATAGCAACAAAATACTTTTAACATATTTTCTATTAACTTTTTTAAAAACTTACGTGGTTAATCAAATATCGTCACATTGGACCGGGAGAGGTATATGCTATTGCCTTTGATTGTGCGGTTTCAAAGCGTGGGGTAAAACTTTGACCCCTTAAGTTTATTCTCAACCAATAAGCACCATCAATTTTATTCAAGAAGGTTCATATGATCCATTAGTTACACATTGTAGACTTTTAACTTTTCAATGGCATAATTCCTCACGTAATCAAATAAATAATTTTTTCTCTTTTCTATCTAACATTTTCTCTTGAAAAATATAAAGTAGTGGTAACTATTGTCCAATTGTAATTCAAATATGAGGCATCTTTTCATTATACAATCGACTTGAAGTAGAATATTTATAAGATTTTATGCCTTATTGAGAATCTAATTGTTATAAATAGTTTATAAAAGTCAATTTCTTTTAAATTTATTATTCGTATCAGTTAAAAAAATTATATCCCAACATTGTTATTCGTATTGTTAGTAAAAAATAACTGCATGTCTGGCTTTTCTTGAACATAGTTGATGATCTATTGATGCGCGATCTTCATTCATTTGTTGATCTAATTATGCGTATAAATTATAATCAAATAAAACGACATGTTTAAGTGGTTAATTTGTCTACGTAACAAAAAATTGAGTATTCATACAAAAACTTAACAAAAATTGAATCAAAATTATCTAATATAAACATTTATATATTCAATCAGAACATACCATACTTCAAATATCTAAATAGCTAAAAAATAATAATACAAATGAAGTGACCGGATCAAGATTTTTGAGTTATATTACACTTTTCATTTATGGCTGAGTCAAAATTTTCACTAAAAAATTCAAAATTAACACGCAATAAAACAAAACAAAATTCAACACCTAAAAAGAGTCAAATGAATGAAAAATCCCCTCGATCCTACTTAACTCCGCCCCCAACTTCCAACTTCATTATTACAACCAAAAAATATTTCCATTGACCAAAGGCTCCTACTTTCCTTCCGCCGCAGAGAAAAGTATACTGAAAGAACCCGCGTTGTATACAAAACCTAATTTCCCTTTCCTTTCCTTTCCCTTTCCCTTTTTTCCCTTATAAATTCGTTTCTTCCTCTTCCTTCTCAACTCACAATTTTATGTCTCACAGACTCAACGTTCCACACTTCGCATCTATAGCTTTCGGTCTCCATTCCCATCTCCTGGTTTCCAGTGAGATGAACTCTAATTCCAATTGGATTTAAACTTGAAATTTATTCTATTTTTTCCAAATTTTTTGCAATTTTTCCCATTACCTAATTCATATTCATTCTTTTTTGAAAAAGTTTTCGTCTCGATTCATTTGGTATAATGGGTGTTAAGGGATTTGTTGAAGGAGGTATTGCTTCGATTATTGCTGGTTGTAGTACTCACCCACTTGATTTAATCAAAGTCCGTATGCAGCTTCAGGGAGAAACCCCAATTTCAGCTCCGGCGACTGTTCACAATCTCCGTCCAGCACTTGCTTTTCACACTGGTGCTGCTAATCATACTATTTCCATTCCGGCGCCGTCGGTTGTTGCTCCACCGCGTGTAGGACCGGTTTCTGTAGGTGTTAAGATTATTCAACAAGAAGGTGTTGCTGCTTTGTTCTCCGGTGTATCAGCTACTGTTCTCCGGCAGACACTTTACTCTACAACCAGAATGGGTTTATACGATATGCTGAAGCAAAAATGGACGGATCCAGATACTAACATCATGCCTTTGTCGAAGAAGATCGTTGCCGGACTAATCGCCGGCGGGATCGGAGCTGCCGTCGGTAATCCCGCCGATGTAGCAATGGTCCGCATGCAAGCCGACGGCCGGCTTCCGATCTCTCAACGCCGCAACTACAAAAGCGTGATCGATGCAATTACTCAGATGAGTAAAAGCGAAGGGGTAACTAGCCTGTGGCGCGGTTCATCTCTTACTGTGAACCGCGCCATGCTAGTTACCGCATCGCAGCTAGCATCGTACGATCAGTTCAAAGAGACTATCCTCGAGAAGGGGATAATGAAGGATGGGCTTGGGACACATGTGACTTCGAGCTTTGCTGCTGGGTTTGTGGCGGCGGTGGCGTCAAATCCTGTGGATGTGATTAAGACACGTGTTATGAATATGAAGGTCGAGCCGGGAATGGCCCCACCGTATAATGGGGCCATTGATTGTGCAATGAAAACTATCAAAGCTGAGGGGCCAATGGCATTGTATAAGGGATTTATTCCAACAATCTCAAGGCAAGGTCCATTTACTGTGGTGCTCTTTGTCACACTGGAACAAGTCAGGAAAATGCTTAAGGATTTTTAATGATGATGACGAAGAAAAAAATAATAATGGGATTTTAGTATAAGAATTTTAAAAAAAGTTTAGTTTAATTTATGTTTTTTTAAGTTTTAAGTTTGGGAAAGTGATACTATGTTGTGTTCTAATATTATTATTATTATTGTTACTTCTATATGAAAAATGAGTTCTTGATTGGTGAAATTAATGATTCTTGATTAAGCAAATGTTTAATTTTTGTTTACTTTTATGTTAGTTGGGAAGTAGAATTAGGTGAAATTAATGACTAGTTCAACTACAATTCATTGATCTCATTTTCTAAACATGTTTGAAATTTATGGTCTAAAATAAGTCACAGATGATTATGCGGCTATATAACAATATTTGCTTGAACTCCATCTTCGAATTTATCACTCCAGAGTTAGGTGAGTCTAATTTGTTACCTCGGATCTTTGATAGATATGAACTATTCTATTAAATGTGACACAAGTCCATGTTTGGTTTGGGTACTGCTGGGTTGGACTTGATTGAATTTTATGGTTGGATATCGCTTGATGATATATTCCAATGTTTGAATCGAATTTTGATTCATATGAATTTTTAAAATCATCAAACAATACATGACAAAGAATAAGTTCATATGCTACATAGTCGTGTTTGGGCTTAATTGACATAGATTAAAGAACAAATTCATAATGCATTGAGTTAAAACAGATAATACGTGGAATTGAGCTTAGTGATAAATGTATGCACAGAGTCAATTGTATAAAAATGTGCAAATTACTTAACCAAATTTAAAAATAAGACGACTTTAGGTTAATTTTATAACATCTCAATTGACCAAGTCGACACAATTTTATTTCAAACCACATATATATGCTTTTTTTTAGAAGAAAAAATAAACAAATTTACTCCCCAAAGTTTTACTTGTGGGATAAAGTAGCTTTGGACTTTCAAAATTGTTGTTATAGCGGGATAAATGATGATTTTCGTTTTTCAATTTTGTCTTTATAAAGAAATGAATTTGGGGTCTAACTCAATCATAAAAATTAGTTGAGATGGGATTGTCCAAATCATATTAAAGAGATCCCCACCCCAACCCACCAACTCGAAAGCAAGAAGTAAGAGCGCGACAACTACATGAAAGCCTTGTGACTAAGGTTAATCGAATGTCAGGAAAAGTTTATTGGCAAGAGGGAATCAAATATTTCGAAATATTTGGGTCCTCCACTCATCAAAATTTATATGATATTTTTTGCCTTTTTAGTCCATTTTAAAAAGAACAGAATCTTCTATATTTAGTAACAATTTAACTTTAAACTTCATATATAACTTATTTTTTAAAATTATAAATTTTAAAAATCATCTTTATTATTAAACTTCATGCCGAAGCAAACACCTTTCACATTAATTGAGAAGAAAAGAATAATATCTTAAACAAATAAGTATTTTATTTAATCACAAAGAACAAGTAACACCATGTTACGTTAATATTGGAACAATATTATATCATGCCCACCTCCAAAGGACAACAAAAAAAGAAACAAAAAAAAAGTCAAAATGGCTTCTTAGCCACCAAAAAAGAGTTTTATTTAATTAAAAACTCTTTTATTTTATTTTCACACGTTTAAGGGAGAATAATTCTAAGTAGAGTAGCTTGACCTAAGAAATTTTTGAAAAAGTCATGGTCAAAACTCTAAAAGTCAAAAAGAATTGAATCCATTTTCACATAATTTTCAATATCACATTTATTAATGATTGATAAATCCAGTAACTAAAATAAATCAAAAATTCATAAATTTAAGTTTTAACTTTGCTTCTCTTTAATAAAATAATTTAAATGATATGAAATCATATTAATCAGATCGATAAATTTAGAATAGTAAATACATAAGCAAAAGGTTTTATTTATGGGATCATAAGTTGTTGCCTAGTAGGTAAGGGAGCGTGTGCTAGGCACATGCATAAGGGTCCTACAACTTCTACTACTTGTGGGCCCATATAAGTGAAACTCGAAGATTGTTCTCATTTAATAATATCTTATTCTTTGATTATATTATTATTTGTATTATTTTTCTTCGATTATCGTATTATATATGTTTCTCATTATGTTCAGCATAACTGCTTCATTGTTGTATTTTCCTTTTCATACTTGATTTTATTATTCTTTATACCGAGAGTCTATCGAAAATCATCTCTCTACTTTCATAAGATAAGGTAAAATTGTGGACGCATCACCTTCCTCGAGCTTTACTTGTGAAATTACATAGAGTATATTGTTATCATAATAATCGAGGCAAAGGCATTATTTTCTTCTACTTGTGATGTTTCTTCATGCAATGCATTTTGGAATAATGGTATTTGGTTCTTATAAGTTAGTAGGAAGTTTGGTTTTTTTCCCCTTAGAATATAAATTTGTCTCTAAATTCTAAGAGATTGTGATGAATTCTTGAACATGCATTTATTCACATGCTTTGATACCTTCTATAATTTGAGTTCCTAATTGACTACACACTACATCCATTGAATCCTATTCCTTTTTAATGAAATATTCTCTTGGTTCCCTTCTTCTAAAAAAAAATAGCAATAAAAGATCAAAAAAATTGAATAAAAACTTTGTGATATAGCCCATCTTTATATCCCTAAAAAGGAAGGAGACATGAAATTCATACATGGTGAGTTGGTGACTAACACATTATGTATTATTATTTAAAATATCTTCACAGAGTTAATGTCACATAACATACTTTATTACTCCGTTTGTTTTAAAAATAATTGTCTTACTTTCCTTTTTTAATCTGTTTAAAAAAAGAATGTCTTCTTTCTTTTCTGACAACTCTTAAATTCTAACTTCACCTCACATGTTTAAAACCATAAAATTAAAGAAAATTTTGTTACATTTTACACATCTTTAGTTTAAATAACTACAAAATTTAAAAGTCTACCTTACTTTCTTAAACTCCGTCTCAAGTTAAAATCAGGCGAATAAATTAAAATGAATGAAGTATTATTATTTTTACTATATAGTTGTCACCAATCCAAATGGTTAGATTCACAGACAAGAAATTTGACCACTTGGATTAAACCTAATAGATTAATTGAATATCAATAAAAGATTAGGGTCCCAATTTGTATAGTACTTTTTTGCTGGTATTAACTAGGACAGCTATCATCTAGTCAATAATTCAGCAGTCACCCGCTACAATATAGTGACAAGTACTCCTTCATTCTCAAACAAAAATCTCGAATTTGAGTCACAAACACCATATTTGTTAGGAGCGTTTTACTCCCCAATATGTGACTTTCTTACTCAAACCAAGATTTAATCAGAGAAGCCAATACGAGTAGCAGACATCAGGTAAAAAACCAAAAAAAGATTGAACACATACCTAAAACACCTTATCAATCATCAAGTACATGTGTGCAACACAATTATTTCACGAGATACCAATAACCTCAGATAACTCTACCCACCAAAATTTAACGCATATCGAAAAAAATCACTTGGCAAATTTTTATGAGGGAAATAGCTGCACAATAGTTTCTAAACATATTGCTTCTGTATAATATTGACATACATTGTAGCAATCTCAGTAAACTACTACTTGTAGTACAAATTTCTAAATGAATAAAAAATGATGAACAGTTACTCTATAGCAGCCATCAAGAAGAACCAAAAGATAAAGAGTATCTAACAAAATTGGACAGAACCCTCTCTTCATCTCTACGCTTCGTATGGTGCAAGAGACTGCAATTCTTGATATTTTCTCCGCAATGTAGAAACAAAGGAAGTACTATGTAGGAGTATTTGGTATATGCTATGTACAAGTTTTGTTGAATACTCTTAGTAGAAGTAGTTGTTGTCGTTGTCATTCACTGCATCTTTACAAAGCATGGATCGAACATCTGCAATAGATCTAGGCGGTTCCAAGTCTTTCTCTTGAAGTGCATTGCCTAGATACTTTTGCATTCCTGATGCAAATATGTCATCTAAAATCTGCACGTTCGAAAACAGAACCATCAAGGAAATAAAGCATGAACCTTCCACTCCTATTTCAAGACGAAAAAGGAAATGTCTGATACATCGTTGTAAAATTTTGTTGAGGTATCAAGAAAATGATGAAGGTGAAAGAGTCAGGCTGGCACCACGGGGTTAGAATAGCGCAAGAGTCCAAACACGTTAGAATACATCAATTATCATATGCACGTTTTTGAACCTATAAGAACCAGAAATCACAATCCCCTTATTTCCATATCAGTTATCACATGAAGATTCTAGATTACACAAAATTTAATCTCCCGGTGGAAAAAGTGGTGTTTGGTTTGGTGTATTAAGGATAATTCTGTCTTTAACCGTGCTTATCCATGTATTAAACCTTGTAGTGCTAATACCATGGTTTGAAGTTCTAATGATGTGATGATTCTAGAACACAAAATAGACTTAACGAGCAGAAAAGTAGCATCAACTAACCGATACTGCGACTCGTGATGCTTTGTACCAAGATCTATTGTCTTTCCTCTCTTCCAAAAACTTGAGCACATCCTGAAATTAAACAACCGTGAGTCATTTGAAGAGTGCACAACATTAGGAAATATTTCTTGGATAACAAACAAGCGATTCACTAACCTGCCCCATACGATCCCAGAAGCCTCGACAAATAATTATGAAAACTTGCGTCTCAAATACCATATGAAGTTGCTCAATTGCATTATCCAGCAGATCCTTCAGCGGCTGAATCCTAACTCGTAAATCAGATTCCTGTGTACCTTCCTTAGCATCTTGGATTATCTTCTTCAGTTTAGTGGGACTATGCAATCTTGTCTGTATACAGAAACAATTATCACAACTCTTGCAAACATTGATAAATTTAGACAAGAAGTCAATTTTATACTGAGAGCACAAAACTATAATGCATTCTGATAGAATACCTACATTTTCTACCAGTTTATCCATGATTGCTTGCATATAACCTCTGAATTTAGTTCTCAACATAACTGTAATTTCACTGATACGCTCTCCTGGAGTGACGTTTCCTCCATCCGGCAGGCAAGAACCCCATGACTTGAATTGCAGTTCTATTTGGGGCCGTAGAACATCCAACATTCTCTTCATAGAATTCAAAAGAATTCCCAGCTGAAAAATAACTCAAGTTATTTTTTTGCAAGTCGAAAACAGAAAAAATGGACTCATACATTTACAAGGCTATTGCAAAAAGACCAAG